GTTCAAGTCTGATAAATTTAAAATTTCCAAATAGTGAAGTAGCCCTTTGGGTATTGCTCCAAGGGCTCCAATTACAATCGGGACAACACACAATTTCCTTTTCCACAGTCGCTCAACTTCAATTTCCAAGTCCTGGTACTTTGTGATTTTTTTCTTGTTGCTTATTTATTATTGTTATTTATTTGCAAATTGACAAACAACACACTATTTATTAAGCACTTGTATATGTTAAAGAAAAATGTATAAATTAAAACTAGGAAAATTTTTTGATGGTGATGATGAACAGGGATCCCTCTTCCCAACATCTGGGCTGCGGCCCCCTAGTAGACCGTGAGCTGTTTGCAATTGAGCCACAGAAACGGTGGGCAAGCGCATGAATGCGTATTCCATGTGTGTGAGCTGCATGCGGTGTGCACGCCGCTTGTGGAAAAGGAGCTGCGCATGCACACATACACCCCGGCACATGCTAGCTTGACTCCTGTGCAGAACTGTCCCCTCTGACCCATCCATCCCCACAAAGCCCGAATGATTGGGAAACTCTGATCTATAATGCCCACAGATGTTAAACCACTGGTGAAGATTTTAGGATCATTGGAAATTTTGGTTGGCCAAAACAAAGTGTTCTCCAACAGCAGGTTATTCCTGTTTAGGGGCTGCCTCATTTTGCAACCATACGAAGTTAACGGCGGTGATGAAAAGGGTCACTTAGGCTTACATAGATGACCTTCGCAGGCGTGCGAAGCAAAGGAAAGCTCTAAGTGGAGCCCCCATTTCACTTAACGACCGCTTCGCTTAATGCCCAAATTGTCAGCTGTTCATTGGGGGAAATCTAACAGCTAAAGTCATTAATTACAGCAAGCCTAGAAACCGAATGGCTAAAGTGTCATTTCTGAGCGGAGATCTAGAACAGAACCCTATATCGATGGCCTGCGGTACCCAGCGTTAGCACTCCATAACCCCAAATCCTGCACCTCACCTGCAGCGAATGCAGAGCACATGACGAAGAACATCCCAAAGGCGATTCTCTTCAGCGAGGAAGGAAGGAGACCCTTCCTCTTCAAGATGGGGTCCACCACTTTGTCTTTCAGGGGGATGAGGATGAGGATGAGGACAGCATCAAACATGGTCAGCCAAGCCGCCGGGAACTATGAAATATATAAAATAGAATTCCACACTATAAAAAAAGACGTTGAGACTCTAGAAAGAGTGAAGAGAAGAGCAACCAGGATAATTAAGAGACTGGAGGCTAACATCTATGATGAACGGTTGCAGGAACTGGGCATGGCTACTCTAGTGAAGAGAAGGACCAGGGGAGACAGGAGAGTAGTCTTCCAATATCTCAGGAGCTGCCACAAGGGGGGGGGGGTGTCAAGCTATTTTCCAAGGCAACTGAAGGCCAGACAAGGAATAACAGATAGAAACTGAACAAGGAGAGATTCAACCTGGAAATAAGAAGGAATTTTGTGACAGTGAGAACAATCAACCCATGGAACAGAAGTTGCCTTCAGAAGTTGTGGGAGCTTCATCCCTGGAAGCTTTCAAGAAGAGACTGGACTGTCATTGGTCAGAAATAGTATAGGGTCTCCTTCTTGGGCTGGACTAGATGACCTACAAGGTCCCTTCCAACTTGATTAATCTGTTAAGAACTGTGGTGGGGAGACAGAGAGGATAGCCTCTCTGATAGTCACCATGTGGCTCAATGAGGAACCTCAACCCCATGCTAGCAATGATTAATGTGTGTGAGAGCAGAGCCTACTATAGCAATAGCCCTTAGACTTATAGACCACTTCACAGTGCTTTAATGCCCCTCTTTAAGTGGTTTGCAGAGTCAGCCTGTTGCCCCCAACAATCTGGGTCCTCCTTTTACCCACGTCAGAAGGATGGAAGCCTGAGTCAACCTTGAGCCAGTGAGAATCAAACTCCCGGCTGTGGGCAGAATTAGACTTCTAACCACTACGCATCATGGAAGGAAGAAGGGAGGGAAGGAGGAAGAACAATAGCACTTAGTCAACCTTGAGCCAGTGAGAATCAAACTCCCGGCTGTGGGCAGAA